TATTTACAATGCTGACGAAACTAGAATATACTGGAAGCTGGAGAATAAGAAAAACATGCACCGCGTCTTAAATGTAGCGAATTTCCAAGCGTAGATTAGATGTGGCACAAGGCCGAAATTAGGTGGGCATCCAGTGAGTATCGAACTCACAACTCAGTCGTAATTGTTCTAGCGAGACAAGCTTGCTCACCATTACACCATCCCGAGGTGCCCTGATTTTCTCAGCGTAGCTTAGATATGGCACAAGGCCGAAAGTATGAGGCACCCAGTGAGAATCGAACTCACTATTCAGTTGTAATTGTTCTAGCGAGACAAGCTTGCTAACCATTACACCACCACGATGTGCCCATTGCGACTTAAGTGTTACAAGGAAATCTTGAGAGTTTGTGCAAGCGCTTCAGGACAATATAAAATAGAAATGTTTGTGATTGGAAAATCGAAGCGGCCTCGTACCTTCAATGGTTGGAGCCATTTACCTCTCAAAGAACCAAAAAAATGCATAGATGGATAAAAATAACTTTAGCGACTGTTTTTTTTTTTTTTTTTAAATTCTCATTCCATCAGTCCGAGCGAATTTTGAACGTCTGGGAAAGCCTGAAAATTCAATTGTCTTGCTTCTCGACAATTTTAATGATCCTCCTCATACATCTGAGCTGATTTCTGACTGTGTAAAATATTTATGGATGTTATTTCCCTCCTAGCGTTACTTCTCTTATCCAGTTAATGGATTAAAGAGTAATAATGGATGAAACAAAATGTCAATATAAAAACAGCCTGATGGTGAAAATGATGGTGAGAAATCTTTAATCCTTTAGAATTGCAACAAAGTTTTACCATCAAAGATGGAGTTAATTTTGCTCAAGAAAACATGGAATTATATAAAACTTATCACTATTTACAGAGCTCCGAACAATTTATGTCCCATGGAAACAAATGCAATCGAAGATGAAACAATTCACGGAGCTTCTAAATCGTTAAATTTGCGAATTAACAAGCAAGGATTGCAGAATGTGAACGAAACACTAAAACTTGGGCTTGAAGATGATCCACAGAATTCCCTCATTTCGGATGATTTAAAAGAATAGATAAATGAAGAGGCTAATGAATTACAAGAGAATTCAACAGTAGAATCACGCCCTTTGCGATCGTCAGAGAAACCCAGGGTTACAAGCTCATATCAACGCAACTAAATATGCTACATTTTAATACTTTTTTTCTTTTCTTTGCAAATAATTTGAAACTTGAAATTTCTTAATCCCAAATGTTTTGCACAGACGTAACTTCAAATAGAAGAAAAAGAAAAAGAAAAATAGATTCTTTTAAGTTTCGTCAGAAATTAGAGATTATTGGAAAACTTGACGAAGTCCCTAATTCGTTGAATTGGCAAATTAACAAAGATTGCAGAATCTAAACGAAACCTTAAAACTAATGCTTGAAGATGAACCACAGAATTCCCTCACTTCGGATGACTTAAAAAGAATGGATATATGAAGACGCTAGTGAATTACAAAAGAATTCCGCGGTAGAATCGTATTAAAATGACTTGGATTATCAAAAAATCGAGGAAGAATCAAATTCTTCCGATAATGGTGAAAATATAAAGGATGATGAAAAAGACTGGGACTCAGTAAAGAAAGCTACTGATGATCAAATTCATGGAGAAAAAAAATCTTTGTTTAGTAGTACATAATGTACAAGTGCACGTAATTTGCCGAAATATCTGACTTAAAACAAAAGCTAAAACAGCGAAAAGCAAACCAAATGAGAAAATAAATAAGAAAGACAATCGAAAATAACACTTATTGAATATCAAACGTTGCAACTTAATATTTACTTTTGTGAGACATTATTTCATATATTGCGACAATTTCTTGTGTTTTGTTAAGTTATAGTTATATTTCAAATGCCATAATTGTTTCATAATTTTTCCCAACCCCTCCTTATAACCGAACTACTTTGATGTTCGGATATGATGTCTTTTACTGTATTTTTAGCCCAATTTTACATTGTTTTAGTATTTTCTTAATGAAACAAGACCCAGTGCACATTTTACTACTTCGTATGTCCTTTCTACGAAGTCGATCCTTAGAGATTGACCACAGATTCTCGATTGGATTTAAATCAGGAAAGTTTCCGGGCCAGTCTATATTACTTTGATTTGCTCACTGGTAAGTGTGTACATGCAACGTTGCAATATTTGTACGCTTCCTTGGAGTAACGTCTATCGAAGACAATGTCCGTAGGACAACTAATCGACAGAAGAGACAATAGTGCATGGGCGGGATAAAATCACGAGTGACGCAATATTTTTCAAGGCCAAAAAATTTCATCATATACTCCGAAAATAGATTTATATTATTGCCCACCACTGCAAAAGATCTAACCTGAGGGGAAAAAAAAAATGAAAATTGATTACACCCTGTCACTCCAGTGGATTTAACACTGACCGTATGGTGAAAGAAAGGAAACTAAATCGGTTGTTTCAATTAATTTGTATACGGGTGTGATATTTCATATACTGCGATGAGTTTTTGTGTTTTGATAAGTTATAATTATATTATATATGCCACATTATATCCGAACACGTTATCATATCTGATCTAATCTAAATCTCGAATATGATGACTTCTTCTAGATACGTGACCTTTTTTTACTTCTTGGTACACACTATTAGCAAAGCGGACATGTTTGTACTGAAACAGCAACAAGAAAACTGGCGCGTCAATGATCAAAATTTGAATACGTGACCATAATAGTAGCATCTATAGGCATGAATGTGTAGAAGACAACGCGACAAATCTAAAGATATATTATGGTGAAAGTGTGGATATTTTTTTGAATTCGTAAATTGGAATACTAAAAAAAAATCCACAAATTTTCCAAATTAGTACATTTTGCCTTCCATAAGAATCAGCATTCAAAACCAATTTTTTTTCACTATCTGAGGTATTATGTACATTATTTACATTTTTCGGACTATTGTCCTCATCTTTGTCGCCATATTTATTACGACGTTTACGCCGTTGTACGCTCCGGCCTTCTTCAGTATATGTCTATATTTCTGAGATGAGGTATTATGTACAGTATTTACATCATTCAGAGTATTGTCCTCATCTTTGTCGCCATGTTTATCGAAATGTTTCGGCCGCTGTACGCTCCGGCCTTCTTCAGATGTCCTTAAGGACACATGGCTCAGTGGATACAGGCGTTAGTTAGATCCAGTGACAGGACCCAAAGAGTGTGAGTTCAAAACCTGCTTAAGTCAGTGGAGAAATTTATCCACTGCCTTAACCGGGTATTGAACTCACACACTTGAGGACTTGGAGAGTGGAATTAACAGATTAAACATGGCACGTGGAACTAAAACAGTCTACTCCAGTGAGCGAAATAAAAGATTCAGTTTGACATTCCAACCAACTGAAGAAGGCCGGAGCGTACAACGGCCGAAACGTTGTAATAAATATGGCGACAAAGATGAGGACGATAATGTAAATAGTGTTTTTTTTCAGTAATGATCACTCAATACAGGACTTAAGAGCCACTCAATGTAGAGGTTTACTGCATGGTTCTGTGTTAACGTCAGAAAGAGAAAGAAGTGAAGTATTCTGTGATATACAGATAACGGCTTAACTCTAGACTTGAAGAATTCACGATTGAGAGAGTTTATAAAATTTCAGAGCGCAGTCGGTGGCATTAGAAATCTAGTGTGGAATTAGAATTTAGAAGAAACCGTAAACCCAGTCCTAAACAGAAACAAGTGATAAACAACTTCTACTTGTATTCAAAACACCGGGTTGGAGAGTGTACCGAACGATTGGCTAATGTGTCTACTCGTAGTGGCAGAAAAGAAAAGAATATAATTAGTGAAGTTCAGAGCTCGGTCATCGACGTTAGAATTATAGCATTGATATATACATTAGAATGAACCATAAACAAAGTTCCAAATTAGAAGTAAGGGATAAAACTCTACTCCTCTTCATAAGACTGGATAGGAGTTCGAACCGGACGGTAGGCGAACCTATCTACCCCTTATGTTATTCGCTGACAACCTGTTTAATTCATATTCCTCGTTGTCAACATTATTTTCATGAAAACAATATCTCATTCTTTGTTGTTATTATCATTGTGTTCTTTTTAGGATATGGCCCAGTTGATAAACGCATTGGTTGACTATCTGTCTATATTTCTGAGATGAATTATTATGTGCATTATTTACATTATTCGGACTATTGTCCTGATCTTTGTCCTCAAGGACACATGTCACAGTGGATAAAGGCGTTGGTTAGATCCAGTGACAGGATCCAAAGAATGTGAGTTTAATACCCGGTTAAGGCAGTGGAGAACTTTCAGAGAGAAATTAACAGGAGTTAACTGAAAATTGACATCCATTAGACATGACACGTGGAACTAGAACAGTCTACCACAGTGAACGAAATAAAGGGTTCAGTTCGACATTCCAACCACCTGAAGAAGGCCGGGGCGTACAATGACCGAAACGTTGTAATTGATATGGGGACAAAGATGAGGACAATAGTCCGAATAATGTAGATATTGTGCATTGGTTGAAGTAATCCAGTGTGTGACTTGACCGAAAGAGTTGTGAGTTCAATACCTGGCCACAGCAGAGGGAAGAAAATCTTGGAGAGTTGAGTTACAAAAGGAATTAACTGAAACTAAGATATCCATAAAAGGCATGCCACGTTGAATTTGAACAAACTATACTCGTGAACAGTTCATAATCCCAACATATATCACCTGAAGGAGGTCGGAGAGTACAACGGCCGAATTGGTCGTGAATATGGCAATAAAGATCATGACAAGAGTTCGAACCATGTAAATGAATATTTTAATAAATATTTTTTAACGTTTTTCTTTTTCTGGTATGGAAGCACTTGATGTAAACATATCGATGTTTTAATTTCGTTTCTACTCTCATCATCATTATGTTTCACTTTATCAAACTTAGTTATAATTATGTTACTGTTCATCTACCTTATTTCATGATTTCTTTTCATTCCCCTCTTTCATTTTCATCATCGTACACACTTCTATTCATACATTTTCTTTCCTACTCAATTCCCTTTGTCGATTTCTTATTTATGAGTTGCCACACTTTTCTTTCTCTTTTCCTCTGCTTCTTATCTTCACAATTTCTTTTTTCCTGAAATTCGATTCTTTACATCATGTAGACTTGTATTACCCTTTTGTCCTCATATTTCGTCGTAAGTCTAACACTTTTTCTTTCTTTTTTTTACATTTTTGCATAAACCTATCTCTTTTTTCTTCTGTCTATTACAGGCCCACGTATACTTTTATTACCCTTTTGTCCTCATATTTCTTCGTAAGTCTAACGCTTTCTTTCTTTTTTTTACATTATTGCATAAACCTATCTCATTTTTCTTCTGTCTATTACAGGCCCACGTATACTTTTATTACCCTTTTGTCCTCATATTTCTTCGTAAGTCTAACGCTTTCTTTCTTTTTTTTACATTTTTGCATAAACCTATCTCTTTTTTCTTCTGTCTATTACAGACCCACGTATACTTTTTATTACCCTTTTGTCCTCATATTTCTTCGTAAGTCTAACGCTTTCTTTCTTTTTTTACATTTTTGCATAAACCTATCTCTTTTTCTGCTGTCTATTACAGACCCACGTATACTTTTATTATCCTTTTGTCCTCATATTTCTTCGTAAGTCTAACGCTTTTTTTTTTTTACATTATTGCATAAACCTCTCTCTTTTTTCTTCTGTCTATTACAGGCCCACGTATACTTTTATTACCCTTTTGTCCTCATATTTCTTCGTAAGTCTAACGCTTTCTTTTTTTTTTTTACATTTTGCATAAACCTATCTCTTTTTTCTTCTGTCTATTACAGGCCCACGTATACTTTTATTACCCTTTTGTCCTCATATTTCGTCGTAAGTCTAACGCTTTCTTTCTTTTTTTACATTATTGCATAAACCTCTCTCTTTTTCTTCTGTCTATTACAGGCCCACGTATACTTTTTATTACCCTTTTGTCCTCATATTTCTTCGTAAGTCTAACGCTTTTTTCTTTTTTACATTATTGCATAAACCTATCTCTTTTTTCTTCTGTCTATTACAGGCCCACGTATACTTTTATTACCTTTTTTGTCCTCATATTTCTTCGTAAGTCTAACGCTTTCTTTCTTTTTTTTTTACATTTTGCATAAACCTATCTCTTTTTTCTTCTGTCTATTACAGGCCCACGTATACTTTTATTACCTTTTTGTCCTCATATTTCTTCGTAAGTCTAACGCTTTCTTTCTTTTTTTTACATTTTTGCATAAACCTATCTCTTTTTTCTGCTGTCTATTACAGACCCACGTATACTTTTATTATCCTTTTGTCCTCATATTTCTTCGTAAGTCTAACGCTTTCTTTCTTTTTTTTACATTATTGCATAAACCTCTCTCTTTTTTCTTCTGTCTATTACAGGCCCACGTATACTTTTATTACCCTTTTGTCCTCATATTTCTTCGTAAGTCTAACGCTTTCTTTCTTTGTTTTACATTTTTGCATAAACCTATCTCTTTTTTCTTCTGTCTATTACAGGCCCACGTATACTTTTATTACCCTTTTGTCCTCATATTTCGTCGTAAGTCTAACGCTTTTCTTTTTTTTTTTACATTATTGCATAAACCTCTCTCTTTTTTCTTCTGTCTATTACAGGCCCACGTATACTTTTATTACCCTTTTGTCCTCATATTTCGTCGTAAGTCTAACGCTTTCTTTCTTTTTTTTTACATTATTGCATAAAGCTATCTCTTTTCTTCTTCTATTACAGGCCCACCTATCTTTTATTACTCTTTTGTCCTCATATTTCTTCGTAAGTCTAACACATTTTCTTTCTTATTTTACATTTTTGCATAGACTTATTTCTTTTTCTTCTATCTATTACAGCTCCCCCCGATCGACAAACATGATTTCAACCGTCGTCTCTTCTTTCGATACCTTTGACTACAATCATAGGCAATCACCTCTACGCCCGCACTTGACTCTCGCCAAGGCAGGTCCCACACCGCTCTGCAAAAAGAAATTCCTTATCAGCGTTCCAGGGAAATGCATATCGCATTCGTCACTCAATGACCTTCTAGATGCCAGAACAATGCTCGCCTTTGTAGACCGCTATTTCGCCACCACCGCCATTCTTCTAATGGCCGACTATTCAGAAGATCAAAGAAATGCAGTAAGAGGGACAGAAGTGGGTAGGGAAAGGGGTGACGTGAAAATGCGGGAGGATCGAAGAATGAAACAAGAGAAATACTATTCACTCTATGTTATAAGCGGTGTTCTCCTGCAACTGTAAAATTGGTCATTAAGCACTTCAAGATAGAACTATAAAAATCTTGTTGAAACACGTAACACTTTTTCAGAACTCTTTCTTTTTCTGTGTGTGTGAGGAGGGTGGAAAGGCGTTTTTTCTGGGTGTGTCTCATTCTCTGGTCAGTATATCTTCTTTTTCTTCTCTTTTTCGTATCTTTGAGAAGTTGAGGTGTCCATTGAATCCTCGCCCTCAAAGACCAAACATTTCCTGAAATTACAAGGGATTCTACTCTTGCCACTCGATATTAATACTGCTTGGGATAAGTTATGGGAAATGATTGTCGCCTGCGCACAATGTTCCAACACTGCTGTGCAGGTAACGCAAAGATTATCAGCGCCGAAAATGGAATCAGCTGACAGAGTTCAAATTGAACTTGGTTTTAATTACACTGTTTATATTCGCACTGTTGCTCTAATCTTGCTCAACGCCGGAGGACACAATGGCCGAAAGGTTAGGATAACAACAACAAAGATGAGGACAATCGTTCAAATAGGAATAGTGTGAATAATGATAAAAAAGTCATTATAAAAATTCATTGAGAATTTAATATGGCTTGTTGCACTCACTTCTCCTCCAAGATATGGATTAAAAAAGTGAATGTGGACTGGTACCGCTAGACTTAGGTGACAACCAGGCTATAAAAATGAAAACCTTGAAACTACTTCACTATCAATTGCTAAAGATGATGGAATAACTGATTTCCCGTGCTATCCTTCATATCAGGCCTAAAATGGAGTACTGCTGATATATTTGGGAAGGAACAATCCAATTCTCATTTTCTAGTTGTCATGGGTCCTTACCTATAAATACAGAATGAACTCTTCCTAACACTATGTATACTACGCCTCTCAAGAGAGAGGGTCGATTCAAGCCGAGCTTCTCGGCTTGACGGTCGAAATCTCTGCCTCTGAGCAGAGAGGAACCAGGGCAGAGTCTCGTTCGGGGAGGTTGACCCACCCGATTCTGTTTTTACAGTTTCTACGGGCATTTTTGGGCTCGGGAAACCCATGTAAAACTCGGCCTTGTGCCACATGCAACCCTCGTGGGGGGGGGGCTAGATACCGAATCGAGCCGAGCTTCTCGACTGACGGTCGAACTCTCTGCCTCTGAGCAGAAAGGAACCCGGACGAGGCTCCGCCGAAGGGTAGAGCCTCGTTCGGGGAGGTTGACCCATGTAAAACTCGGCCTTGTGCCACATCTTTTCCCTCGGTGGGGGGGATCAAGTAAATATTGAATCGAGTCGAGCCGATAGTAGTTCAATCCCAACCAGGCTGACATTCATACTAACACCTTCTATATCTTGTATTATTATTTCGTGTAATATACCTTCGTTATTTCTACTCTTGTTTTCGTGTTGTTCTTCCTTGGTCCTAACCTGGACCATAACAGTAAGTCTTAATAGAAACCAAAAGCGTCTCGGTGTACGTGTTTGTGAGAAAATATTTTCCACCCTAAAACCCGTCTCTCACAGAGGAAACAATGTAATCCTCTCACTGATCTGTCACCGTTTCTATGGAAAGTATTCAAAATGCATTCCTTAATTTCCACCTTTCTATACTTCACAGTTAAACCCGCATTTGCATTTAACCGTAAGCATTGCTTACGGTTAAATCACGCTGAAACACCGGTTCTCGTTCGATCACCGAAGTTAAGCATCGTAGAGCCAGGTCAGTACTTAGATGGGGGACCGCTTGGGAACACCTGGTACTGTAAGCCCACAAAGTCCAACCCTTACCTCACGGTAGTGTCAGAGCTATGCCGCCCGGAACTTCGTTCCTTGTAGGTCCACCCAAGGCGGACAGGTCTGACACACACGCCGGCTAACAAGGGCTCTGGTGAAAATCCAAGGAGCGTCTGCATCGGTAACCGGCGGCTTCTGGTCGTTCCTGTCTCTGCGTCTGTGGGAACCCCGCGGCAAGCAAGAACGTTATCCGAGTAGGCCTGGGTACCCTACTTCTGTAATTTATCCCAAGAATCTTCTTCTCATAACAGGAAGAAGCCGGCTCAATCCGCCCAGGGTGAATGCCGCATCAGTACAGTAGTACAGTAGTACATCTGCATTCACATTGTAGCGAACCTCATTCATTCCCCTCTTGTTCCACTGGTGAAAAGTAATTTCCACCCGAGCACGTTTTTCACCTGAACCGCTGCTATATGGAACCGAGTCTCGTGAGGATGGCTTCTTGATTCCTACAAACTTAATCTGTTCAAATTATCTGTTTTTTTAACCAAAACCTATCTTTTGTTTTGCTCCATGTTAGGCACATCTGTTTCAGATCTGTCATCAAGCTTTGCAAGGTAGTTTTCTTTCCTGCCAGTTTATCTTCTTCACATATCACGATATACTGTGCCCTTATTTTATAACCCTCTACCTCGAGTGGCTACCGGGCCTTCTGCAGGATGTACTTCAATGCAAAATAAAATCCCACTACCACCAAAAATGAATGCTAACTCGCAGACAATAAAGAGAGTGGTATGTGGAGAATTATGTTTACCTACCATATGAAATGGCATTGCATTAAATTATACTGTTGAGGAAATGATCTTCTACATAAACATGAGTGATCATGACTATCCACAATATCTTGTAATATAGCTCTTAGTAATGTTTGTCTTTTTGATATACAGTAGAATCCCTCATATCCGGAATCCCTCATATACGGAATACCTAAAATCCGGAGTGCCTCATATCCGGAATCTCGCTTATCCGGACATGATTTTGATGTGCATATTTGAACTATTTGGGTGATATGTAACTGATTTGAAATTTCTGTTTTTCGGGAAATTTTTTTGGGTAAATGCTTAAGCTTATTTCACCTTAATCTCTTATATTGGTGACAAAGATTATGGGCCTAAGAGGAAAGGGTGCCAAGAAACACATCTGCAACAAGATAGCGACGAGATGCATGATTATGATGAAATCTGGACTAAAATTGAAAAATCTATTGAAAAGGTTGTCAGTTTTATGGAAAGAAAGCCAGCATTCAGCTATGACTATTGCAATAACGCACGCGGATTTAAAAAGTGTCTTTTCTTTAATAAAATTCTAGAACAAAAACAAAATGAAATAAGGAAAAGTTAAGAATGACATTAGAAGAGAAAGCATCATCATGCAATAGCGATTAAAAAAATCCTCGTTACATTATTTGTTTTGCATACGTGGCATACGTAGTTTAATGAATTTTTAATAACATCACATAATTTATTTCTTTTTTCCTTAAAATCAATTCCGTTATATTTCACTCAGGATTAGCTTATTTTGTTTACTATAAAACAGGGAAAATAAACAAAACCCTGATTTCAGTTTTTTTTATTTTAATATAAATATAACCCCTCATATCCAGACTTTGTCACCACTTCTTCTTAATCCTGCTGTACCTTCTATTCACTGCTCTGGCAACCAGTTACACAAACTTGTTAGTCTGGTTATTCCCTGCATTCTACTCCCCCTCTAGATTTCGATATGACCTAAGGGCGTCAAATTCTCCAAGATTATTATCGAGTTTGTGGCCGTATCACATTGTATCACCGGTTCCCATACGATCACCGGAGTTAAGCACAACCTAGAATAGTGACCACATGGAGATAACAGGTGCTGTAAGCTTTGATACACGGGTGATATAATAAATAATGGCTCGAAATTGATTATGGAAGATAAAATATGCAACCTTCTTTGTAAGCACCAACACCCCAAAAACCAAATGTAGTAGAAATGGAAGTTGACGTTTCGGAATTCCATAGAAGACTAAGACTAGGAGAACCTTTTTTTGAAAATGGAAACAATGATAAATCGCAAAAAAATTTTTAAAAAAATATTAAGAAAGTTTATCAACCCCCTGAAGGCAAAAAAGCAACCCTTGATGAATTCTGTAATTACATCTCTAAATTCCCATTTGACAAACTGGAAATGCCACAAAAATAGTCCATCTTTCCCAGACAACAATGGAACCAACGTAACGGTCTAATATTGAACAAAAATATTATTTTTTTTATAAAAGAAGCTGATAAAGAAAGCGTAGTCGTTATTATGGGTACAGAACAATACACAAGCATCATATGAAATATCCTACAGGACGATACCTTCTATGAAGAAGCCAGACAATACCAACCACAAAAGGTAATAAAAACCTACCAGTTTAATACACCTATACCGAGTCTGTCTTACATCTAAGGAATTTGCCTACCTTACAAACTTTATATATAAAACAGGCAATTTTAATAACTACCAAACAAAAGTAAGCCAATCAACGAAACATGCAATACTGCAATAACTAATTGTGTTTTGTCGCTGTACTCCATAGTGAATTGGATGCTAGAATTTATATTATTAATGGATGTTTGGAATGTTTTTAGTTTATCACGTTTTTATCCAGCAAAACCGACCTAAAACTAAGGCCCATAATAGGAGGGCCCAATTTTCGAGACAGACTATCTAAGCAATTTTCTAGATATGCTATTCAAACTGCTTATCAAGCATGTTCAGAGCTTCATTCGAGATGATCTAGATTTTTTGAATCATCTTCCCAACGAGATAAACCAAACTATTTATATGGTATCAAGGGGTGTTGTGAACATATATAGCAATATCCCATATGAATACACAATAGAGGCCGTTAACTACTGGTTAGAAATATTCCCTCTTAAGCTATCAAATCGTATCAAAGGAAATTTCGAAACAGAAAGCCTTGAAAAAAAACAGTCAAGAACAGTCATGGGGACAAATGTTGCACCAACATCTGCCAACCTAGTCATGTGATACCATGAAAGGAAATCGGAAATTTGTGAGAATGGCTTCAGTTTCAGTATATAAGAAAACTGGGAAAGATATCGATAAGACTGTTTCATTCTTTGGAATGAATGTCGCGATAATCTAAAAAGATTACAAACATCCATTAATAATATAAATCCTAGCATCCAATTCACTATGGAGTACAGCAAAAAAAACAAACCTTTTTAGACATTTTAATAACCAACACTAAACTAGAAACCGTCCTATATTTTAAAACTACTGACTTTCGACAGTATCTCCTTTTTACATCATCTCATCTGAAACACACTCGTACCAACATCCCAATCAACCGAGCCAAGCTGATATGTACAATAGTCTCAAGCACAACCACAAGAAAGTACAGAATAGAAGAGATGAAAAAATCCTCATCAAGAGAAAATACTCTCAAAATTTGATCAACAATAGCACTGAAAATGCAAAACAAATTAATATGCACACACCCCGAGAAACAAACGGAAAAAAGAAAACAAAAGTCATCCCTTATATTTCAAATTTCAATCCAAAGAACACAGATACACACGCATACAACTAAATTTACCAATTCTACTAACGGAGAAAAATATTCGAAAAGCCATTTACAAAAGTACCGAATCATAAAAAGTTAACGACAACCAAATTTACTAAGAATAATGATATTGACGAGTGCTAAACTGCAAACGACAATTAAAGAGCCTCAGGTGAAAAAAATAAAACTGATTCCTTAGGGGAGTATGCAGCTACCTAGGGTCAAGAATTTCATTTCAAAGAATGATCCAAATTCAGAATTAAAAATGATTTCTCGTGTGAGATATACATAATTACATGCAAAGGTTGCCAAGAGCATTACATTAAGGTTGAGAGTTCATCGCCAACAAATTATCCTGATTATATCTCCGATAATATTGGATGTGCAAGTGAGGATCTTCATGTCAGGGTTACGGCTAGGGTTAGGGTCACACACACACTCACACACACACACACACACTCACACAAACAGAAACATACACACACACTCACAACAAACAGAAACATACACACACTCACACACACACACACACACACACACATATATATATATATATATATATATAGATAGATATACCAATATGAACATAGTTAAATAGATAAGGAACAGAGATAGATAGATAGATAGATAGATAGATAGATAGATAGATAGATAGATCTATGTGGAAAGGCATGAAAGGGCAATAATAAAATCGATAGATCAACTACAGTTAGATATGAACTATAGTAAGCGTGAGAGAGGAAGACAGACAGTAATAAAGAAGGATAATGAGCTAAAAACAAAACCATTTAGGGAAAGATGAGGAGAAAAAGAGAAACAGATTGATGAATTGAAGAAAAATGCAATTATAATAAGATAAAGTCTGGTATTTAATATTCAAAATAATGGATTTATTTGAGTGCAGCTGACATAACGCTATCATAAGACATAGATAGATAGATAGATAGATAGATAGATATGGGTAAAATGCAGGTGATGCAAATATATATAAACATAAAGAGATATTACTGATTTCGAGGGATAGATAGATAGAAAGATAGATAGATAGATAACAGATTCCGAGGGATAAATAGATAGATATGAGACGAATGTAGGTGTTGCATATTTATAAGCATAGATAGATAGATAGATAGATAGATAGATAGATAGATAGATCGTAAAAAATCTCAGAATTAACCTATAGAAAAAGACAATATTTATGAAGGAAAAAAGCCAATAGGAAAATTGTGTAGTTTTAGCTGGCAAAAAAAAAAAACGAAATGAATTTATTGAAATAAAGTATCTATAAAAAACAAACAAGATGTCGTTAGAAAATAGAAGAAAGTTGAAACTCTACAATATAATCAACTGAAAAATTACGTCAATTACTTTATATTTGAAGAGAATATTTTCACTTGTAGAAATATTGTTTGTATTGTTGTGTTGACTGATTCAATCATTTTTTTTTATTTCTTTATATATTTGTTTTGGACGTTGGCTTGGGAGAGTAGTGATTAAGAATGGTCATATTGGGAAAAAGACGGCGTAGATTAATATTTGGAGAATATTCAATGGCGGCACTCTCGAGGACTTTCCTTTTAAGCGAACCATTTTCTTTTTTATGAGTGTAGCATTTATAAAATCTAAATTGTGGTTGAATTATTTTGTATGAGAAATGGATTTATTAAATTGTTATTTATGAGTTCTCTTTTTTGCTTATAGATGCGTTTCTTTTTTAATTTCTGTATGTTTCACTAGTTTATATTGAGGAACACTTTTGTCAATTTATTTTATATATGCATGCTTCAGAAATATTATTGCTTTGGGTGTATAGCTTTTCTATAAACGTCAAAATTGAGTTCGTTATTAAAAACTCAATTTTGATGTTTATAGAAAAGCTACCAACAAAAATGACCTTGTCAGTTTCTATTCAAACCACTTTGGAAAATGAAAAATTTGACCTGGTCTGAACATTAAAATCGGCAAAAACAAACACTAACTGATATGTTTAGAGACAGAATGCAAACATTGTGGAAACGAATTTGTTGTAAGCAGTAAATGGAAGAATAATGTACATCGATATTGGAAAGTGTCTGATGTAATGAATTTGCATACACCAGGGTTTCCCCCTCGCAGTAATATGATTGGCTGGTGTCAGGCATAAATACAGACTAATGTGGAGGTACAAGAGACATCTATTGACGACGCCTTTTGGCTGCGCCTATAGTCTTCGCCTATTGCCTACGCTTATTGCCTACCACTACGACGAGGACCAGTCCAATACGATTACCTGCTACATTGTCCTACTCGGTTACAGTAGTCCAAAGCCACTTTGCTACTTCCAACAAATATATCCCTTTCTTGGACATATCAGTATTATACCGTGTGTCTATAATACAGCCTACTTCTCAAGAAAAAAGTAACATACGAATATCAACAAACAGAATGACCAGCTAACAAATCCATGAAGTTTTAATTTGAAAAGATTGACTTCAAAAGGTTCAGAGGTCATCCAAGACCCATGATAGTAACAACGCTGAACCGAGCTATTCAAAGAACAAGACAGAATGATCACACTTTTTCTTTGGAGTGGTACATAATCAATGAAGATCCGCAACGAATCTGCAAACTCGCAGAAGACAGGGAAGACTGGCAAAATATTGTCGAATCAGTATACAATATCACTGAAGATGAAAGAACATGTTAATTCATGACTTCAAATCGAATCAGTTTTGATGATGATGAGAAAAGGAGGGGAAAGTAAGAGAGTAATCTGAGAAAGACCAAGATAGATATCGGTTGATTCTGGATGGTAGTTGTTAGGGAAGTATTCTCTCAGGAGTTTTTTTTTCCTAGGAGTAACAATTTTTGGGAAGAAGCTGTCTGAGTGGGAACTTGCTTTTTATCATTTTGTTTTTTTATTGAGAAAGACAATATTCAGAAAAGGAAACATTGGACTTGGCCTGAACAGTAACATCGGCAAAAACAAACACTAGCTGATATGTTTAGAGACAGAATGCAAACATTATGGAAACGAATTTGTTGTTAGCAGTAAATGAAGGAATAATGTGCATCGATGTTGGAAAGTATCAGACCGTGTGTCTGTAATAAAAGCTCACTGTTCAAGAAAAAAAAAAAAAAACGACATACGAATGGATCTAGAATGCCCAGCTAACAAAATCATGGAGTCTTACTTTGAAGAGTGACATTAAAAAGTTCAGTGGTCATCCAAGAAACACCATAATCACAACGCTTAACCGAGACATTCAAAGAACAAGGCCGAAAGATCTCATTTTTTTTCTTTGGAGAGTGTTTGCAATCAAGGAAGATCTGCAACGAATCTGCAAACTCG